ATATATAAGTTGTTCGGTTTTTTTTTCATCTAAAAAAGCGACATAATTTCTTGACGACCTAATAATTTTGTTCTTTAATTTTCTCCTATAACTACAGTGAACAGTAGTTAATTTAATATTTTTCTTACTCCACTTTATGAAATATGCACTTTAATATATTTCTCTTTTCCACCTTAAGTAAAATTACTTATGTTTTATTACATTTACTCCATTTTACCTTAATACTTTTTTCTTCTTCTTCTTCTTAGAATCCCGAATGATTAGTTATTATATTCTCCATTCTTTTTAGACCTTACGAATTAACCAACTTAGTATTGTTCTCATAATATTACGTTATGAAACAGGTATTTAAATTTTGTTTTTCTCATTTAGCTTGAACTCTTTTACTACCACGTTTATAGATAAAGAACCCCTCCAGTGCCAGGTTTATTTTTTGGATACACACAGTAACTGATGGGGTGTTGTATAATTATTTATATCTTGCTTATTACATTGTTTATCAAATCAAATTTTTAAGAGATGGTTGCCTGAAGATGGCATAAAGTATTAAATGAAAATAATCATTCTTGCAACACTCTTTAAGGTTAAAAAAAGGTTATATAGTGTATCCTATATAAGTGCCTATGGCAGTGCTCCAGAGGAAGACATGGATGATTAAGAAACACTTTCCTAAATCTATTTCTCATTCTACTTCGAGTAGCATTAATTTTCATTTTCTTGAAAAAAATTAAAGGTAGGTGATACCAAACAGTTTATTGTCATTTAGAACATTTAATGTCGCTTAGTTGGTGAATATTTTATATTTATATTTCTTAAATTTATATATTTATATTTTTTGAAATTTATATATTTATATTTTTTGAAATTTATATATTTATATTTTTTGAAATTTATATATTTATATTTTTTGAAATTTATATATTTATATTTTTTGAAATTTATATATTTATATTTTTTGAAATTTATATATTTATAACTATAATTTCTATATTATATAATTATAATATTATTTTATATGATGATTTTTAAATGTATATTTTTTAAAAAATAGGAGTTTTAAAACTGTTTCCAGGTTCGTAACATTCATAACCATATATCTACTTGGTTACTTCGCTTCAGTTGGGGTTGAAATTGCACAAATGCCAAAGATGATTTAGAAATCATTTAAGAAAATCAGGCATTTATGGTTTGACAAGAGGTATAATATTCATTGAAGTTATTGTTAAAGCGTGTACATATATACCTAATGTTAAATCACTGACTTTAAATATTTTCAATAGATGATAATAATTTATTTTCGGTCTTTGATGAATCTATTTTGATGCTAGTTTTTCTAATCAATTTCTAGTAAAAACAAAATCAAAAGTATAATCGATCTTTTGGTTTAGGACTGAGTATGACATAATGGTTAACGTCTTAGAATGAAAATCTAAAGGTCTAAGGTTCGAGACGTGATATATTGCTGAACATGCCTTGCACTTTCAGCTGTAATAGTCCAGACCGCTATTCAGTTAAAAGTAGCCAGCAGGCCCCATATCCGGGATACGATTCCCTGCGGTGGACACAGCAGATAGCCTAATGTGTCTTTGCTCTAAATCAAACAGGGTTCTATGTTGAGGATGGCTATATCTGATCCTTAGGCTCTCTGGTCTGGCCATTTAGCTCTTATATCTCGTAAGGTGCTGGTAAAAATACCCAATATTTTTGGTTTATCATACTCTTTAGAGATAACAAAATTACATTGGAGAACAATATTTATGTCAGATGACAATTGCTGGATAAACTAAAGGAAAGTTCTTCATTTATTTTGTTTCGTCGAATGTAGAGCAATTCTAAATACAAATTGTACGGTACTTGCAAAGCAGATAAAAATGTATGTTACTCAACCGCTAATTTATTTTCGTTTGTAAAGAGCAAACGGGCTTGTTTTAGCACATCGGGCTATTTGCCCTCTACCCCCCACGGAAAATCGAACTCTAGATTTTAGCGTTATAAGTCCACAGACTTACCACAGACCTAAAGGGAATAAGAACAAATGGAATGTCCAAAAAGTGAAAAAAGCAATCCATTTAGGTTTTCAAGGAATGAAGTTTCTGTGACATTAGATCAGATGATTCGGTTTACAATAATCTCAGGCCTGTTTAACCTAAAATGAATATAAGAATCGAGTTTACAGCATTATCTGTTTGTTTTCTTGAATTTCGCGCATAGCTACTCGAGGTGTATGTGACACGCCAGATGGAAATCAACTAATCAGCATCACCCACCAATAAATCTTGGGTTAAACTTGTCAGACAGAATAGTTGGATTTGACCGTCACTCTCATAACTCTCATACGGTCCAAAATTGATGAGCGCGATATTTTATTGGCGATAGTAGACGTGAACCATGGAACCTCAGTTCTACGCAAAAAAAAAGAGAAAAAAATAACTACTACCAAAAAATACAAACATGAGAGTTTGTAATCCAGTCTGAGATTTGGTGTCCTGTGTACAGATATTTTTGTTTTTTTTATTTGTTGTTAGGCACAAAGTTACACAATGACCAATTTGTGCTATTTTAACCAAACGGATCAAGCCAAGAATTTTAGAATTATAAGCCATCAAGCTTACTGTTGAACTACCGGAGGCCATGTAAAATAAAATAAAAAATCTGTTTAATACCTTTAGAAAATGTTCTGTGGTCAATAAAGAAAACCATGCAGAATGAATGATAACCATTTCATTGGAATCCTCGTGTTATTAAAGTATTCTTGATTTATTATCATCTGGGTATACGACGCTAACTTCAACTTGAAAGCCACATTGAATAACTGAAATATATCCGAATGACTGTCAGATATTTGTGACACAGATCCAATGAATGCCAAACGCGTGAGATATATATATCCAAATGATCGTTAGTTATGTATATTTCTCTCCACTTACATTATTAATTGTAAAGTGGACTTTAAGCAGCTGCGGAGCACGAACCACGGAGCCTCAGCTCCTCAGTCCTGGATGTTAACTTCTGGACCACGCTTGGCTCAAAGCTTTCTCTATGATTTTTCTCTTTAATCTACCAGAAATAAAGACCATAACTTATTTGATGTTAAATAGCTTTCATTAACGAAAGTGCAATCCGTAAAGAGTTTAAAGGGTTTAGTGTTGGTCCTATCACTTCACTTATTTGTAATATGCAATAAGTTGCAAATAAAAAAATTATGTTTGCTTTTGAATTTCGCGCAAAGCTACTTGAAGGCTATCTGCGCTAGAGGTCCCTAATTTAGTAGTGATAGACTAGAGGGAAGGCAGCTTGTCCACTTTTAGGTTACTCTTTACCAACGAACAGTAGGACTGGCTGTCATATTATGACTTTCCCACAGCTGAAAGGACTAGCATTTTCGGAGACGGAGATTCGAAACCACGACCCGCAGATTGCCAGTCGAGCGCCCTAACCACCAGGCCAAGTCAGGCCTATGTAGATAATGAGACAAAAATCGTAGAGCGTAAATTTTTCTATAAATTTTTAGGTTTAAGAAAACAAAAGAATATTTATGCAGCAACTTGCAAGATGATAATAAAATTTCACTGGTATTTCAAATAAATGTAGAAAACTTATCTGTTGGAGTACATTTTGCGCCGGTCATGGTCCGCTGGCTAACGTACATGACTGCGGATATAAAGAGCCAAGGTTCGCGTCGCGATGTCGACAAGAAGTACTCCCCCTTTCTTTTTCAGCTAGCCATTGGTGTATTATAAGAGTGTCAATCGCACTATTCTGTTCAAAGCCATGAAAAAGCCCTTGTGACAGCGGATGCTATTAACTGACTCTCTTCCCTCTCGTTTTAGTTCAAAGTTAGGGACGAGTTATATATGAACCTAAGGGGTTTCTGTGTGCATGAGATGTTGTTTAGGATGCCATGAATTTTTTATCGAAACTTACGATAGTTTATTAGGACATTCTAAAAGAGAATAAGATTGAAAACGGTGTCTGCGCATTACTAAATTACGGTTTCTCGTTTTTTCTTCACCAATTTACTGGTGTGGGAAAAGGGAGCTAAAGCGCTTTATCTGTACACTCTGTTGCACTTTATTCTTGTGATTTAAGGAACTTTCTACCTCGAACTGACGGCAAAATATGAAATAGGGAAATATAGAAATTCCCAAAGAAGAAATTAGCTCTATTTTTACTCTTAATTACCGGCTGGAGACTTTCATGTATTTCGATTGAATGAACAACTACCTTAGTTTATGACGTGGAATGTAGTTCAGAAAATTGATGATAACTGATGATGAGACCGAGTTGATGATGATGAGACTGGCGAATGTATCTTCCTTGGTTAGGTGTTTCTCGACATCTGGGGTTCTATCTTACGTTTTAAGTCATATTTTCACATAAATATCAAAATAATACCAGTATTTCTGACGAACGGGTATGCCGATATGACAATGTTATGTAATTTTATTCTTATGATCTTTTTCTCTCACTACTTCACTAGCACTTACCGTCGCTTTGAGGGTTGTTTCCGAGACAATTTAGAGAGCAAATGCGGCAAAGAAGCCGTCGATTTCATTCAGGAACTTTTGCGCATGGCAGTTTCCCGTCTTCCGGATATCATTTGCACCGGATTCGACCCAAAATCTAATGAATGTACTAGTGTACTTCCTGCTTCCGGTACCAAACCTGAAGGAGAGCAGTCAAACCTTGCCCTTAGTCGTCTTCTTTCTACCTACTTTACTAGTAGTTAATTTCACTGATTTTTTTATAACCAGTTCTCTAAACATTACTTGGTATGGTAAAGTTAGCTAAAATCTGAAGAAATAAAATATTATTCTGAAACTAAAATTTTAGTTACGTTTTATTTTCGTTATGTGTATAGTTGTTTGCATAAAGCTTTATCTTTCAGGAGTCAGTCATACTCAATTATACGTTATTATCCAGAATAATCATACTCAATTATACGATATTATCCAGAATAATCACACTCAATTATACCTTATTATCCAGAATAATCAAACTCAATTATACGTTATTATCCAGAATAATCATACTCAATTATACGTTATTAT